GTGGATGGGTGGGTGGGGTGGATGAGCGGGTGGATGGATTGATGGTGTTTGTATGTAAATTGCACAGAAAACAACACCAAAGCTGCTGGTATCTGGAGGAAGGCTACAGCTCTGAAAGAGGTGCAGGAGTTCTGTGACTGTGTCACCCAGAGCCAGCTCGTGCATTTATCTTAAGCTCCCAGAATTGGCTCCTTAGCCCAGGGCTGCGTGACCCTGAGATGGGTCCCTATTTCTCTCTGCTGTCCCTCCCCTCCCTGTAGCCCATCAGGAGTCCTGCCTGTGTTCCTCCTCTCACATGTATTCATGAGCTTTAAGTTCACTTTCGGATCATGGTACGTCCATAAAGACAGTATTACACTTAAATGAAGTATTCATTTTTGTAATCTTTTTTAGAGGGCAAATACATTTAATAAAAGCTACCGATAATGTTGACTCTTCTTTTTCTCCTTGCTCTCCTGTAGAAGCTTTATTTATATGTTTGTTTATATCATTTTGTTTATTGAGTTGGTGTCTCACCCTATCACCCAGACTGGAGTGCAGTGAGCACTTTGGAATGCCGAGGGGAGAGGATTGCCAGAGTCCAGGGGTTCGAGACTAGCCTGGGCAACTTGGCAAGACCTCATCTCCACAATAAATTTTTAAAAATTAGCTGGGTGTGGTGGCACATGCCTGTAGTGCCAGTTACTTGGAAGGCTGAGGTGAAAGGATCGCCTGAGCCCAGCAGGTTGAAGCTGCGGTGGCTGTGAGCGTGCCACTGCACTCCAGTCTGGGCAACAGAGACTCCAACTCAAAAAAAACCAAAACGGCCAGGCGCGGTGGCTCACACCCCATAATCCCAGCACTTTGGGAGGCCGAAGTGAGAGGATGGTCTAAGCCCACGGGTAGGAGACCAACCTAGGCAACTTGGCGAGACTTCATTTCTACAATAAATAAAAAAAACAGCCATGGTGGCACGCACCTGTAGTTCCATCTACTTGGGAGGCTGAGGCAGAAGGATCACCTGAGCCCAGCAAGTCGAGGCTGCGGTGGTCATGAGCATGCCACTGCACTCCAGCCTAGTGACAGAATGACTCCTACACTAAATAAATAAATAAGCCGGGCTCGGTGGCTCAGCCTGTAATCCCGTGCTTTGGGAGGTGAGTGGATTGCCTGAGCCTGCGGGTTCGAGACCCGCCCGGGCAACTTGGTGAGACCTCCTCTCTACAATAAATAAAAAAATCAGCCAGACGTGGTAGCGCGCACCTGCAGTTCCCACTACTTGGAAGGCTGAAGCGGAAGGATCGCCGGAGCCCAGCAGGTCGAGGCTGCGGTGGCCGGGAGCGGCCACTGCACTCCAGTCTGGGCGACAGAGTGAGACTCCAAATAAATTAATTCATTAAATAATTACCCAGACATGGTGGTGCACGCCTGTAGTCCCACCTACCCAGTACCCTGAGGTGGGCAGATCGCTTGAGCCCAGAAGGTCGAGGCTGCAGTGAGCTACGATCACACCACTGAACTCTGACATGGGCAACATAGGGAGACCCTGTCTCTGAAATATCAAAGGTAACTGAGGCTGGGCACGGTGACTCACACCTATAATCCCAGCACTTTGGGAGACTGAGGTGAGAAAATTGCCTGAGCCTATGGGTTCCAGACGAGCCTGGGCAACTTGGCAAGACCTTGTCTCTACAATAAATCAAAAAATAAGCTGGGCGTAGTAGCGCATGCCTGTAGTTTCAGTTACTTGGAAGGCCGAGGCAGAAGGATCGCCTAAGCCCAGCAGGTCGAGGCTGCGGTGGCCATGAGCGTGCCACTGCATTCCAGCCCGGGCAACAGGGTGAGATTCCAACTCAAAAAATAAATGAATAAAATAAATAAAAATGATGGTTCATTTGTTCTCAGCAACAACACGTGGCTGGTGGTTGCTGTATTGCACTGCAGAGATACGGGACATCGTCACAGAATGCTCTCCTGGACATTTACTGTGAACAACTCACAATAAATAGGTTGTTTTGTTTTTTTTTTTGGACAGAGTCTCACTCTGTCATCCAGGCTGGAGTGCAGTGGCACACTCATGGATCACCACAGCCTTGACTTGTTGGGTTCAGGTGATCCTTCGGCTTCAGCCTCCCCAGTAGCTGGAACTACAGGTGCACATCGCCACACCTGGCTCATTTTTTGATTTATTGTAGAGAAGAGGTCTCACCAAGTTGCCCAGGCTGGTTTCAAACTCCTGGGCTCAGGCAATTCTCTCGCCTCTGCCTCCCAAAGTGCTGGGATGGCAAGCCTGAGCCACTGAGTCTGGTAATCCCAGAAATGTTATACAAATGAGTGAATTTCTTTCTTCTTTTTTTTTGGAAAGCAGGATTTATTGAGAGGATAGTAAAGCTACCAGAGCAGGAGGGGACTGCAGGGGGAGGGTTGCCCAAAAGAGTGTATTTCTAAGCAGAAGGCCCATTTCTCTTGTAAGTTTCCCAGAGGAAGTTGTGAGCCAAGAAGGGACCATTAGGAATTCAGTTTTTTCTCAACGCACAGTTGGCAGAACCCGTGGTCATCATCTTCCTTATCTTGATCGGTTCACACAGAAGACCCTGTTGCCCAGCACAGTTTCTTGCGTTGCTTTTTCTTTTTTTAGCATATTTGTTTGTTTGTTTGTTTTGGATTTTTTTTGAGTTGGAGTCTCACTCTGTCGCCCAGACTGGAGTGCAGTGGCCGCTCCCGGCTACCGCAGCCTCGCCTGCTGGGCTTCAGCGATGCTTCCGCCTCAGCCTTCCAAGTAGACGGAATTACAGGTGCGCGCTACCACGCCCAGCTGATTTTTTGATTTATTGTAGAGATGAGGTCTCGCTGCCCAGGCGGGTCTCGAACCCGCGGGCTCAGGCAATCCACTCACCTCAGCCTCCCAAAGGCGCGGGATTACAGGCTGAGCCACCGAGCCCGGAATATTTTTATTTTAATGAAAGGGCAAGGTGGACCAGTACTACAGGACTAATGCAAGATTGCAACAAAGAAGGAAGTAGAAAGAAGTAAGGTTTATTCATCATCTTTCACAGATGGAAAGGGGACCAGCACGCAGGCAAGTGTGGCCCCAAAGGGCTGAGGACTGGATATATTTAAGGCCCTTGGGACGGAGGGGGTTTGGGCCTGTAGGGGTCTGAGCCAAAAAGAACGTCTAGGGCTGCCTTCTTTGATGTTGACAGCAGTCACCTAAGTCTTGGATCTTGACCTGGCCAGACTCTAGCATCTCACCCTTGTGTGTGGGGCTGAAGGTTGTCATGGTCGAGTAATAAACATGTATCAATACAGACGCCTCC